TGTGAAAATAAAATATGCTTAGGTGTGAGAAGATTAAAGAAGTAAACATTGACCAAGATGTAAGGGAGTCTTGATCACTTGATCACTTGATATCCATTACTAATTGATTTGCTCAAGAGGGCACCAGTAATGTCTTCATTTGTCCATGTCGTGTGCTAGTGTAGCCCAACGATGTCTGCTCATTACAGGATCAAGAAGAGCCTCAAACCGTTTGTTCAGAGTCTTGGCAAAGAAGCCCATCTTTGTCCTAGGTGGGCGACCACACATTCTTTGATGTCAGGTGGAATCCAGTTGTTAACAACTCTAGTCCAGCAGTCGTCTTCAAATCGCATTATGTGTCTGGCCCATCTGATTGTCTATGCCTTGGGAAACAAGACAAGTTCTCGACCTAGGTATACATAACTGCTGCTTTTAGAGATGTTTGTTCCATTGAGAGTGAATGGAACATCAGGAATGAGTCCGTTTGTCATGAACATTGTCTTTGTGAGATTCAGATGCAGTCTGACCTTTCCACACTCATAGTTGAAGTCGGCCAGCATTTGTGCTGCTTGGCTAATGTTTGGTGTTATTAGAATGATGTCATCAGTGAAGCAGAGGTGGTGTAGTTGCCGACTGTCTATCTTCACTCCTATTTCTTCCCATCCTAGTCCTCGTTTGATGTTTTCCAGGGTGGTGCTGAAGGTGAAATGCTATCACCCTAATGAACCCCTCTCTTGACGTCGATGATCACTTCCTTGTAGAATGGTGAGATCCTGGTAGTGAATCCGTAATATAGCTCATAAAGGATCCTGAGGTATTGAGTTTGAACACCGTGTTTGACTCGGGCTTCAATGACTGCTTCTGTCTCAACAGAATCACAGACTTTCTTGAAATCAATGAACATTAGGCAGAGCGGCATCTGAACTCCCGAGAAACCTCAATGAGCTTGGTCACCTTGTGGATTTGGTTGATTGTGCTGAATCCTTTTCGCAACTCTGCTTTCTCGCATGGTTGTCCTTCGTGTAGTACTCTGCCAATCCTATTCAGGTTGACTCGAGTGAACAGCTTTTAGACGATGAACAACAGGCAGATCAGGGGATAGTTGCCAATGTTGTGGATATCTCCCTTCTCGTATGGTAGAACGGTCCTGCTGGTTTTCCACTGGGCTGGAACCTTGCATTCAGACAGATAGCGTGTGAAGAGCCAAGCCAGTGTATTGATGAGTACTGACAGCAGATTCTTCGGATGTTTGGGTCTGACCTTGTCTGGGCCAGGTGCTGTTCACTCTTTACCAATGAAATGGCGTGTCAGATTTCGGAAGGGGGAACATTGGGAATGACATATCCATCCTGCGAAATTTGGTATGTGGGCAGGTGGACATGGCTATCAAAGAGATCCAAGTAGAAGTCATGGGTAATCTACTCCATTGCCCTTCTGGAAGATGTGATAGATACATCAGGATGTCGGAGAGCAGTCATCTTTGTCTTGTAGTTGGTGAAGGACAGGCAGGTGTTGTGAATGCTTTTCCTGGCTTCTGTTCCATAGGCCAGCACTTCTGCTCTTCTTTCTTTGAGGTCTTCCTTTAACGCTTCTCTGCACCGCTTTGCAAGTTTGGACATTTGCCTGTGGTTGCCTGAGGCTTGTGCCAAGCCAAATTGGTGAATGAGCTTGAGAATTTCTGAAGACAGGCATTTTTTGGGGGCTTTCTCTCTCCTGGCATTCCTCGCACAATCATGGAGGTGCTGAATCAGTCAATCATAATCCTCGTCAATGTTGTCAATGACCACATCTTCCCATGTTGCCGCATCTTCCCATGTTGCTTTGCGAGCTCAGACATTTGCTTGCGGTTGCCTGAGGCATGCACCAAACCACGTTGGTGAATAAGCTCAAGAGTTTTCGAAGACAGGCATTTTTTTTGTGGCTATCTCTCTCTTGGCATTCCTCGCACAATCATGGAGGTGCCGAACCAGTCGATCGTATTTCTCGTCAATGTGGTCAACAATGGCATCTTCCCATGTTGCCGCAATAGTGCCAAAGAGCTCCCAGTTGGTGGTCATTCTGGGACTTCTCTTCATAAACTTTGCAGCCCTTACTCCCCGCTCTGTGAAGTAGAATTTTGCACGAAGGAGACGTGGTCTGATCCTGTTTGGAATTTTGGGACAACAATGACATCAATAGGCAAAACTGTTGATTGAATATGATGTGGTCCATTTCGTTGTGGAACTGTCCACTGGGAGACTCCCATATCCAGTGTTTAGATTCAGCCTTCTGGAACTGTGAGTTACCAGGATGGTTTCACTGATGATTTTGGTTGACATGATGAACTCAGACAGTCTTTCACCCTGTTCTTTCCATTCAAAGCCATGGGTCCTGATGTGGAGTTCTTTGTGCGATCTTCTCTGTCCTGTCTTGGTATTACAATCACCGTCAATGATCTTCTAGAAGATGTGGTCTTCTTTATAGAACTTCTCCAGCTCCACGTAGAATTTCTCAATTTCTTCTTCATCGTAGTTGGATGTTGGTGCATAGATGACGAAGATAGATGTTGGCCGTGAGCCACATCTATTCAAGTATAAGCATCCGATTCGGGTTGTTAAGCATTCAAATGAATCAAAGCTCATGGCCAAGTTCTTGTAAACAAGGACACCAACACCACCAATGCTTCTTTTTCGCACATTCCAAGGTACAGTTCTTCTCCAGTATCAAAAGTAGCATGATGTGGTTGATGTCTTCTTATCTAGGTCAGACCAATGATGTCGTACTTGATCTTTTGCACTTACAATATCAGATCCTCGATGGATGCTTCTGATGCCAGCGTACATGCATTGAAAGTACAGATAGTCATTTAATTCTTCTTTATTCTGGCAGCCTAGGTCGGCCCTGAGACTTTATCAGCTTCTCCTTACTCATCCTTCTTAATGCTGCCATACTGGGAGCTCTTTCAGGGTCAGGGGATGAGGGCCATTGTTTTTACTGTTTTTGGCATATGAAATATGCCACAGGTAGCTTGCTAGGCTCTGCCATGTGGGCAAGATATTCTCAGTAGCTTGCTACGCTCTCTTAGAGCAATGGAGGCTTTTAGGGCAGCCTCTAATTGCCCTTATAGGTGTTCCCATCATATTTGAATCCCATCAGATATGGTGTGGTATTCTTGGAAGATGGGTATTGAGTGTCTTATGATGTGTGGCACGGTCACATGCAGCACATCACAAGGGAGTCTATGAAGATGAAATTTAATGGCAGTTTGTATTTTCTATTTAATCATACCTTGGTTTGGGGGGTTCAGAATAGATAAACTTACATTTTTAAGCACTTTTTAAATCTTTGTATCTGAACTAAGAACATACCTTCTCATTATTGTTAACTTCTCAAATGTTATGTTCATTTTTACATGGATTGGTCAACTTCTAGAATTAGTAAGTCTCTAATGCCGTAATAGGTGTAACAGAAATGAGCTTTCTGTCCAGCACGGTATTTAAATTTACTTGAGTCTACCCTCTTTTCTCCTCTCTGTCCTCCTTTGATTCCCTTACTTGTGGACCTGCTTCTTTCTTTTAATTCCAGGGCACAATTTTCTTCACATTTTTATACTTCTGAAATTCAGCTGTCTTTGTAAAACCAGGGCTGGAGCGATAGCACAGCGGGTAGGGTGTTTGCCTTGCACGCAGCCAACATGGCCGACCCGAGTTCAATTCCTCTGCCCCTCTCGGTGAGCCGGGCAAGCTACCGAGAGTATCCTGCCCGCACGGCAAAGACTGGCAAGCTCCCCGTGACGTATTCGAGATGCCAAACACAGTAACAAGAAGTCTCACGTTGGAGACTTTACAGGGCCCGCTAGAGCCAATCGATGAACAACGGGAGGACAGTGACTGTGACCATTGTAAAATCAGTAGAATGGATGGAGTATTTATACCTGTGTTTTCATACTACCCAAGATGTTACAATCTTCTTGTTGCAGAATCAAAAAATTTATATTTTCTTGTGCAATTGCTTCCTCCATTCCTCAAATGGCCTCTTTCAAATTTTATGAAGAATTCATTCAATAGAAAATAAAAAAAATTTAGTCATTCTCTACATAATGTTTTGAGTGTATTCAAATAATTGTGAGTGATCTTAAACTAGACTCCTTGGCATAAGAGTGAAGAGCCTTATAATCTCTGAAGCCTTTTGTATTCTGGCTCAAGGAAGAGGGTCTGGACTATCTGCCTCCCCCTCATGAAAATGGGGTCATTCCTGACAATCATATACATGATGCATTTTTTAAATACAACTGCTATGAAAAATCTCTGAGGAAAATTTGAAAAAAATGGGTTTGGTGTTGAGCTGAAAATAGCTAAAACAGACTTTTGCTGAAACCTAATACTTTAAGATAGAAATGTATCATTCTCCACACAGGAAAGATTTGACTTTTCATACTAAATTCTTGAAGAAGCTTAAGGAATATCTTTATTTGGGGTCTTCTAACAGACGAGACACTTTTCTGTTTGTGATGATTTAGGTACACCCACGAGATATAAGCTGTATATGAACTTTTAGGTCGAGACCAGTTGTAGGAGTTTTGAAGTGATTGATGACTCTATCTAAATAAGGCCAAAACATCCAGATGGGAATGAAGAGAGAAAAATTCTATTAGTCATCTACATGTTTTTTCGATATGATTCCAAAGAACCTGGATATTAAGAGTTGGAATTTTTATATTTAAATAAAACTGTATCTCACTATGTTTTCTACTTTGAATATAATATTACTATAAAATAAACAACTCATATGATAATTTCTTATTATTTCCATATTCTATCAATAGCATGCTAAAATTGTAATAATTATAAGAAAGGTAAAATGTGAGTTATATTTAAAATGCTTGAAAATAGTTTTGTTTAGCCTGAGTATAAAATGTTACCAGAAGAGTCACATAGAATGAATTATCTTCTTGAATTCTAGTTTTTTATTTTTATAAAGTGAAAATCTGAAAATCACTTATTATACATATATTTATATGGCTTTGTGTTTTTAAAATTTAGGTATGTGTCTTGTGCCCTGGGCTGTCCATATGAAGGAAGTATCACACCACAAAAAGTGACAGAAGTAAGATAAACCTCTCCTTTTCTGTTTTAATGATACAGTGATATATATATCATATTATTATTATTATTATTAATTACTGAATCACCATACAAAGCTTTCATGATTGAGTTTAGTCATACAATGATACATATTATTTTAAAGTGGAAAGTAAACCATTTAAGTTTTCCTTAATGGTTATTGTATCTGTACAACAAAAACTAAAAAGCAAAACTAAAATGGGAGATTATCCCCAAAGGTATATTTGACCACTTAAGAGATCAAATTTAACCCTGCGGACATGTTTATTGACTATAACTGTTAAAGAATAACAGTTGAGACTTATCGCTTGAGACCCCAAAGATTTTGTTTTTCTTTGCTGTTTTGGAGTCAGTCTGGCATTTCTCAGGGATCACTCCTAACGTTCAGAGGGTCCTGTGCAGTCTTGGGGTTTGAGCTGGTGGTGCCCACATGCAGAGTCAGTGTCTTTACACCTGTGCTCTCTCTCTATTTAACCCCCTCCCGTCTATTTGTCTTTTATGTGGCCAGAACAGGGAACGACATTCCCCCTTTGTGCAACCTACCTATTTATTTTCCTTCTTGAGTTGGCACTTACCTGGAGAATATGCTGATTCCTTCTTTTTTCCCTTTGAATATCTTATACTGATGTACCATTACATCTATTTTCAACTACTTTTATTTCTAAGTAGCATCTAGCAAAGCTGAAATCTGATGGATTAAAAATGATAGAAATTATAGATCTAATTAGAAATCTAAGAAAAGTAGATTAAAGTCACACAAAACATACAGCAGTTGGTGTTTTTATCTAGGATAGACTTCCATATGATTATAGTGGTTCTAATGGGCCACTTCATGACCTCTAAAAATATAGTCTATCACCCACCATCTGGGTTTGTTATGTGTCTAGAGTATCAGCAACACTCTATGATGTTACACCAAAACAAAATTTCCTAACACTGTATTCTTATTGTACTCTATCATCGAGGTCCACCAACTCTGTAGTCATTAACAACCCCTTACTGCAGTTCATTTTTTTTCTTGATTTTTTGGGTCACACCCGGCATTGCACAGGTGTTACTCTTGGCTCTGAACTCAGGAATTACTCCTAGCAGTGCTCTGGGTACCATATGGAACGCTGAGGATTTAACCCACGTTGACCATGTGCAAGGCAAATGCCCTCCCCGCTGTACTATCGATCCAGCCCCTGAAGTCCACTTTCAACTTCCAGAACCTGTTTATTGATGCCAGTGGAAACAGAATGTTCCATTCATGATGCATTATTAGACTAGTTCAAAAAATCATTTCTATAGAGGATCTATTAGCTGAAACTTATATTTAAGTTTGTTAATTTTGATAAAATTATTATGACAATGAAGCAATGAGTATGGAATTTTTAGAAAATAAAAATTAAGCAAGAAGAATTCTCAGTTTTGCTGAAATCAATTCTTTTATATTAATTTATTATAACTTTTGATGTTTACTGCGGATTTTTCAAAGGTGATATTTTTATACTATAGATAGAAGCATGTAATAATAACAAAGTTAAGTAATGTGTAGTTACTTTACCTGCATGAAACTCTTCCAACACTGTGTTATTAATTGGTATGCACAATTTTATACTCTTTATAAATGAGTGGCACAACTTCAGGTTACATTAATCACTGATCCACAGTGTCTATTTATTAAATCCTCGCTTTTCTGCCTTTTGTTTCATGTCATGTCCAGAAAGAACATATGAATCCCCAGGCTGTCTGTTCCAATGCTGGCATGCCTATGGAATTGCTGGAGAAAATCATATTATAGGCAAATTGAAAGCATTAGGGATTTGTGACTTGTCTGATGTCCCAGTTTGGGTGCCAGTTGTCACAGTTGCTGTCCTGTGCTGAACGGGTCCCCTGGTGCATTCACAGTGAATGATCATTCCCCCCCCCCCCCCCACCAACAGCTGATGGACAAAAGAACAGGTTGCCTGTGGAGGCTGGTAACCAGTGCAGTTTATTTAAATCAATCAGGATTATTATAGAGGAATTGTGAAGGGTTGGGCAAGCAGTTACATATAGATGTGGCTGAACATAACCAATGAACAGATGTAAAGTTCCTCCTTCAGGAGAAATTCTTCTGGGAGATCCACCCAAGGACCAAATTCCATCTAGGACTCCAGCACTTCAGATTCCTACCCAGAGCCAGAATTCCATCTAAAGGCATATTGCTTTCTCCTTTCCTTTCTTGGTAATCCATTTAAACAATCATATTAAAATACTTCTTCATGTTTCTAGTCATTTTGTATATAAACACAGTAAGATATATTGGGTGTTCCCTTAGAAGCACTGGCGTGAGTGCATTTCAGTGACCCTAAGTTCCTGCAGGAAGTGAAGGACAACCCAGTGTCAAGCCTCAGAGGCTTGGAACCAGAATCCAACAATGACTAACGGCCTTAGATGGACCTTTTGTGCTATTATGTGGTCAATTCACGTTTATTTTCTGAATTGATGATTTCAAACTTTGTTAGTTCTCCTCAAGTCTTTACATCTTTCCCTCATTTTCTTTGTCATTGCTCAGAATTTTTCCTATTGGCTCTTGAACACTTTTAAGCCTCTTTCATGCGAAAGCATTTGTTTTAAATTCATCTTCACCCTCTCTTTATTGGCTACCTCTCTCCTACAACTTCTTCAAATGGTCGTATACAGTAGTTTAAATTCCCTCGTATCTACCAGTCCAGCCCCATATTCCACAACTGCACAAGAGCACTGTGTCTTAAGCTCCCTCCGACTTAGACTCCCTGCCAACCTTGTTTGCTTTCTGTAACCCCCAAGCCCCGGTCCTACTAGCTCACCCTTAGTCTCAACCCTCTTATACATTTTTTTCTGTGCCCCCCCTTAGAGTATCTTGTGCAACCTCAGGGGGACCATATGACCCTCAATTGAGAAATGCTGATCTTGACTACAGTCTTCTAAAATCTCTTGCATATTGCCAAACTGGGTTCAATCCCTGGCATCACCTATGATCCTTTGGGCCCTGCCAGCATTGATCCCTGAGTGCAGAGCCAAGAGTGAACCCTAACCACACCTAAGTGTGACCCCCAAATTAAAAGATATGTATTTAAAAATCCCTGTTTCTTAAGATTATGAAATGGCATTACATAATGAAAAGCAAAATACTATTGCGTTTTAGGAGATTTTGGTTTCAAAATCCTTCCTGATTCCTTTGTATTCCTTTGAACTCATACTTCCAGTTTTCCATTAACTGGTTGGGTTTAAGTATCATCTTCTCTGCCAGGATGGGATTTCATAACTTAAGGGGTGGTAGTGAGAATAAGCATTGGACTTTCTCTAGTTCATTTTCCTCTAGTTACTGTTCATGTTGGGATGATATAATGCTAATTGCCTTCCAACTTGTTTTTTATACTATGATTCCCTTTCTTTTCTGTAACATAAATCTGGTTATAGCATTATTATCCAAAATTCTGCCATCATTTACTACTGAGTGTATGAAAAAATTCTTTAACCAAAATCATCAGTTTTATTGGTGTGCAAAATTCCTTGAGGTCTGCTTCACGCCTATCTGTGTACAGCTTTATATACTCTTATTCTGAACTGGAATTTGTTTTCTTGTCACTCTATTGTTTGCATTTTTTTTTCTCTTGTATGGCAAGATTTTTCAACTTGTTACTTTAGAGGTTGGACAGATGGAAAGAGAGTTAGGCACCTGTTTTGCAAACAGCCAACCGGGTGTGACCTCTGATACCACACAGTGTCCCCAAGTATATTTGATTCTGGATCATGGAGCCAGAAGTAAGCCCTGAGTACCACACCAGATGTGGCCTCCAGGCCCCCATGAATTTGTTAACCTTCGTTTAAGGCTTTGTACTAGCCTTTGCATTTCTATTGCACCTGGAGACTAATCCACAGACCTTTCCTTCTCATCCTTTTCAACAAGTCCTGCTACTTTATCAAGAACTGTCACTGATCCCTTCATGCTTCACAAAATGAGATCAATTTCCTTTGCTGCATACTTTTATAATCCTGTGTCTTTATTCCAAACTTCTCAGTGTTGCTTGTATTTGCACAATACTGAGTGGAACTGATTAAGAATTGTCCTCACTTGACTTCAGATGCTGTGACAGTATAAGATGTTTTAATATTAGCATAACATTAACTCTCAGCACACACTTCACCTCAGTAAGCCCTGAAGAAACACATACCAGCTGAATTAATGAGTTACTGTGCATGAATCTTTATATAACATATTTTATAAATTTGTCTACATTCTTTGCTTGTAAACAACCAAACATGACTAGCACAAGTGGCAGCTGAGATTTAAATTCAGGGCTGTCTGATGCCAGCACCAATATCCTCTATATGCGAATGTTTTCTCCTGCAAGTTCACATTGCTCTTTGAAAGTCACTTTAGCTATTGGGCTTGAAGTAGACTTGCAGTTGATTTCATACAAATGCATCTGTTCTTTTCTAACAGAAAAAGATCACAAAACTACTACAGATTACAAAGCTACTTCCCGGTGAACTGAAACAAATATTGGTATTCATCACCCAATCTAATGCCTTGGCAAATATTACTCCAAATGTAAATCTTTATACTTCTGTTTGTTTCAAGGTTAAGAAACAAGGATCAGAGCAAAGGATGGTGGGTAGGGGTTTGCCTTGCATGCTGTCAACATAGGTTCAGTCTCCAGCACCCCATCTGGTTCCCCAAGGTCCATGAAGAGAGGTCCCTAAGTGCAGAGCAAGAAGTAAGCACTGAACATGGTTGAGTGTGGACCCCCTCAAAATGTTAGACATAAACCCTTCACAAGTAAAATCGTGCCTCATAATTTCATAATTCAATACAAATAGACATGCCCCTAATAAAAACAGCAGTGGGAAATGATAATTACAGCAATGCCATTTAAGTTTTACATAATACTTAGTACCTAAAGAGAAGGAAAAAGTGACTAGGAAACTAAACTGTGTTTTTCTTTGGAGAAGCAACTGACCTTAGTTGTGATTTTTTACTTTTAGAAGTACTTCCCAGGGAACATCTTCTTTTTTGAGTGTCTGATTTCCTTGTTTTACTAGCACTTCACTTTTCCTTACAGGTATCAAAGAGACTGTATGGCATGGGCTGTTATGAAATATCCCTGGGGGATACAATTGGAGTTGGCACTCCAGGAAGCATGAAGAGAATGCTGGAAAGTGTCATGAAAGACATCCCACCAAGGGCTCTTGCCGTACACTGTCATGACACCTATGGACAAGCCTTAGCGAACATCCTAACGGCCCTTCAGGTATTTTATATGACCTGTTTTCATGGAATGGTGTGCCTCATTGCTTGTGACATAAACATGCGGAGAGGTACTCTGAGGGACATGTATGGGTCATGATGAATATGGTGTCTGAACACTGCCTGCCACGTGAGAAGCACTAAAGAAACATGTGTAAATGTGAATTAGGGCAATGGAACCTCACCAGAGCTACTTTGTTTTGATAGAAAAACAAAACAAAATGCAAAAAAACTGTAGTTGATCTTTCTAAAATATACGTTAAAAAAAAGAGCCATTGCTGCTTTTTTCACCAACTCTTCCATACTCTCAACCATACTCTCACCAACTCTTCCATACTCTCAATTTAATCGAAATATGATGGCAGTTTTGAGGGCGTGCAAGGCACATTAATACTAGAATATACTGTCATAATCACGTAAATAATGGTCTTTTTGATAATTAGGTGCTCTATGATAAAAAAGATATGGTGCAGAAATATCGACTATTCCGCTTCAGATGTTTTCCTGATGTTGGCAAGCATATTTGTAAAAGGTCCTGGTTTTTATCAAGTATATTCAGTTAGAGCTCTCCAAACTTATTTGGCGCAATTCCCCCTTTTCAGAAAAAGAAATTCCTCATGGTCCTGCCGGAAATCTACCTTCCAAGTAGAAACTGCCCTCAACTGACCCGAGGGCATTATCCTTTGTTCTTCTGAATTGTTCTAGGATCCTAAGGGGGAGAGGTATCATCTTTATTGGAAAACATCATAGTAGATGACCATCAAAATGAATGGCTATAGAAAGTACAAGAATTGGGAATTATTACTATGTTCAGTTATTTTGTATTTGAAATATTGGGGCATATGTACACTTCTATATATCATATTTTTATCAATTAAGAGTATTGTTTTAACATCAACATTACTTCCTTAAACTCAGCCCAAAATAGATACATTTGATGTTATTATAACCCAAACTCTTGACAACTAAAGATAATGCTGTATGAAAGCTTTTTGGTCAAGCTGAAAATCAATGAGTAAAGCTTAATGTCACAGTCCTAAAGTGAACAGTTGCTTGGCAGAAGTTGAAAAGCAACGTGAAGATCAAGCCCCACAAGGGTTTGTTTCGACTTTGTAACATATGTGCCCAGATCCTTGTTTATCCTCTGGAAGCAGGCAAGGAACATTGCATCGAATTAGAAACAAGAGAGAATGATATCCCATGGACTTCTGAGCATGGGAATTTTTACGATTTTCCTTCTCTAGGCATTTTATTTTCTAAAACAAGAGAGAAAAGAGACAAAACTTCAGGGTTTTGTGTTTGACTGCAAAGGTAATTTATTAAATGTTCCTTACTAACCAGCTCCCAGAGGTTGGTTGGTTGGTTTTGTGTTGCTTTTTAATTTCTCTCCCTATTCTTTCATGATAACACTTTGAGTTATACTTTATTATTTTGGCAAATCAATTGCATAATGAATGAATCATAGTTATTTCTTTGGGAAAAACGGCTTTATTGTAAAGTCTGTGAGCAAGGAAGGAAGCTCTTGAACGCTGTCTAGCTTCATAGTGTCTCCAGATGCAGACGTGTGAGGTACTGTTCATGCCCCATTCTGATCTTAAGTGTTAAGGAAATGCAATTTAAAATCCTACCCAGGTAATAAGGAGAATCTGATCTCAGTAAGGTGTATAAAGTATAAAGAAAGGGTTCAAGTATATGAAGGGCCATTTGGATAAAAGATCTAGGAGGGGAAAAATTGAAGGAAGACTAATATATTTAGGGGAGAAACTGAGGTTTATAAAACCATTGATAAACTGGTTTAATTGCAAAGTTTCTGTTTGCAGACAGGTGAAGACTGAAATTCTGAGTTATTTGCCCATCCTAAGAATAGCTATGGAAGAGGGAAGGAGGTAACCTGGGCTCAAAAGAGAAAAGATGCATGTGTGAGAACATATGTGAGATGGAGAGCACCCAAATATCAGATACTCAACAAAGAACCAACAAAAGATGAGCCTTAGGAAGGGAAGGAAGCCAAATACTTCTTAAAGCATTTGGTTACAGATGGAAGAGAAACAAAATGTCTCCTCTCTATATAATATTTTACTTATAGACCCTTTTATGGATTAGGATTCAAATTTACATTGCCTATAGAATTGAAAGTTCATGCAGATATTTTACGATCAAATGGTGGGCATGCCAAGAGTAGATGTCTCTTCTTTTTATGTATATTTAAAAATTAATTTTTTATTAAGGTACCAGGCCGGAGCGATAGCACAGCAGGTAGGGCGTTTGCACTGCAAGTGGTCAACATGGCCGACCCGAGTTCGATTCCTCCGCCCCTCTCGGAGAGCCCGGCAAGCTACCGAGAGTATCTCGCCCACATGGCAAAGCCTGGCAAGCTACCCGTGACGTATTCAGTATGTCAAACACAGTAATAATTGTCACAATGGAGACGTTACTGGGCCCACTCGAGCAAATTGATGAACAACGGGAGGACAGTGACAGTGATTAAGGTACCATAATTTAATGGGTCAGGGGAATGAGACCTGTTATTGTTACATTTTTGGCAATAACGGATCTCATTCCCCTGACCCTGAAAGAGCCTTCAGTATGGCAGTGTTGGGAAAGACAAGTAAGGAGAGGCTGCTAAAATCTCAGAGCTGGGACAAATGGAGACATTACTGATGCCCACTCGAGTAGATCAATGAACAATGGGATGACAGTGATACAGTGATACCATAATTTAAAAAGTCACTCATCGTTGAATTTCAGGCAAAGAATTTTCCAACACCAATCTTACTCCCAGTGTCAACTTCTTTCCACCAATGTCTCTGGGCCTTCTCTACCATCTTAGCCTTCTTTTTCGACATATACATTCTTAAGTTTGTTGTTGTGGTTTGGATCTCATACAGTTTTTGTTATCTCTGAAGTTTAGGTATATACGTATAAATCTGTTCTGAAGGAACATGCCTTTAGATTCAGCTGAATACTCTGGTATGTGTGTATAAAGAGGTTGTTTTTCAGCAGCTTCTGTTATGGTTACTAGGACGGGTAAAAACAAGCTTGTATAAAGGTGTTTTCTGCTGTGTGTATTTCCTTTGTGTATATACATAGACCGATATGCATACGAAGAGGTTTGAAGCAGGACACAGGAGGCCTGAGAACCCAGTTGTATACTTCTAGCTTGGTGTTATATTGCCATGGAGTTTAATACTCAGTCATGGAGTAAAAAGACAAAGAATAAAGCAGCGGTGATAACTGTGTGACTGGTGAAGCCAATGGAAATGGATTATTCAGGAACTGATCAGAGCAGACTCCTGAGGAAGCTGAAAGTTACAATTGTGTTTTTGTCTTTCTTTGCCTCTGTATTTATAGATTGGTATATAACAACAGAAGAAAGGAATGCCCACTATAGGTCTCTTGCTCCATGATGTCATACCTGCTGTGTCCTTGCTAGCACAGCCAACAGCACCCACACAAACTCCACACTAAGTAACCTTCTTCTTTTCTCCATTTCTCTCTAATAACTGCGGCAGCAACAACAACAAAAAAACAGATTTACCTTTTGTGTTGGGGCGGGGGTGGGGTCGGGAGGGGGGGTTGTCTTAGAAGAAACTGCCAGTGTTTAAATTGAGGGGAAATCAGAGACAATCTCCCGGATCTTAAGCAGAGCTAACCTTGGCTTCAGGAAGCAGCGACCATACTTCATTTTTTAGAAAGGAACCTTTGAAGTGGCTTCTAGTAAAATTGGTGTTGGATGTGGAGTGGATGCCATTTGCTTTAATTTAGGGGTTGAGAAATAGTTTACAGTATTCCAGACTGGAAGTTAATATTAAGGCAAGTAGACATGTAATAAATGGAAACTTGGCCACAATCGTAGGAAATAGAAATGGAGTTATAAATGGAACATCCCCTTCTGTGTGGAAAGCACATGAAGCATGTAGTACAGGGATCTTTCTTGGGACCCCAGCTTTTATTATATCCTATTTTTATTACTTAAACATATGCCTGTATGGCTGTAGAGCAGTGTAGTCAAGAATACATAGCTATTATAAGTTCACATAGAGAAATCATTCTCAAAATGTAGTTTTCTATGTGAAACACTTATCAACTCCAAAAGAAAGAGCAAGAAATTGAGGTATAGAAATGTACAGCCGTTTACAGGGAGAAGGACAGAGAAGGGGAAAATTCGAGGGGAAAGAAGGAGATGAGAAAGAAATGCAGTGGAGAAGCAGGGGTCAGGGGCTGTGGAGAGTGACATGGCACATGTCCAGACAGCAACAGCGCTGAAAAGGGAAGGTCTGAACCACAGCCGCTGAACTGGACACTGTGCCTTTCAGGTGGCCAGGGCGGGTGTGCTGGGGAGAGGGAGAGAGAGAGAGAGAGAGAGAGAGAGAGAGAGAGAGAGAGAGAGAGAGAGAAAGAGAGAGAGAGAGAGAAAGAGGAGAGAGAGAGAGAGAAAGAGGAGAGAGAGAGAGAAAGAGAGAGAAAGAGAGAAAGAGAGAGAGAGAAAGAGAGAGAGAGAGAAAGAGGAGAGAGAGAGAGAGAGAGAGAGAGAGAGAGAGAGAGAGAGAGGGAAGGGGCTCTGGTGATAGGAAGTTGATACTAGTGCTAGGATGGGGATGGAAATATCCTTCGCCCAAGACTCCACTATTGATGACTTTCTTTTTTCATGGGGGTGGGAGGGATACTGGGATCATTGGTGGTGGAGAATGGGCACTGGTGGAGGGATGGGTACTCGATCACTGTATAACTGAAACCCAAGCACAAAAATGTGTAAGTCTACAACTGTACCTCTTGGTGTTTCATTAATAAAAATAAATAAATAAATAAATAAGAGTAAAACACACTGGTAATGGGAAAATGTGAATAATTCAGTATAGCTTTTTAAATTTTTATGTAAAACTTGACTTTTTAAAAAATTTTAAAATGTAAATTTTAAACATTTGCATAAACATTTTTATGTAAACATCATGACCTTGTGATGCATGTTCCTGAGTAGTCCTGAGTAAGACATCAGCTAGCAAA